GGTTTGGGTGTTGTGGTGATCAGTCACAGCTAAAATCCTGCATTTTGGTAGCTGTCAGATTCTCTGAGCTTTGTTTGATCCTATTTACTTACAAGTGAGAGAGGATGCCAAACGTTGTTAATTTTCTTTCCTGCACATCTTGTGTTAGCGGGATCTGAGGACTGTCCAGATGGTGGCTGGAGTTGCAAACAAGGATTTGGTGGTGACACTGCAGCAGCACCTCTGGTGTGAGGGAACCAGGCACCAGGACATCCATCTCTGTCCCTGTGTGCAGGGAGTGTCTGTAAAGTGAAATAGGGGCACTGACATGTCCTGCAGTGCTGGGCAGGGGCTGACAGGACAGGCCAGCCCCCTCCCTGTGCCCAGGGGGTTGTTTGGTGTCACTGCCCTTCCTCTGGGACAGCCCCTTCGTGCTGTGTCCTTGGGAGTCATCTGCAGGAACTTAATCTTTTCCTTCTGTGGAAGGGTAGCAGATAATCCTTAATAATCCAGCAGAAGCGTGCACAGAGTGAATGCTTTGAATTCCTGAAGGTGAAAATCTTCATCCTGAGTCTTTGAGGATCTGCACTGTTTGATGCTGGGGGTGCTGGGACACCTGGCTGGGTGTGCCTGAAGGGACAATGCTGCCTGAATTGTGGCACCCATGTATGAACACACACAGCCTTTATTCTTCCCTGCAGCTCTGCTGCTTTCTGTAGGATGAATTGATCTCAATTAGCTTTTACATAAAGTAAAAGATATCGATGAACTTGGATCCAGCTTTGTTTCTGCAAGTGAAGAAGATTCCTTCACTTTGGTTTTTGTGTGAACACTAAATTGAAAGTCAATACAACCCTAGCTGGGAATTAGAGTTGTAAACAATCCTAGTTGCTATTTGTTTCACTTTAGTCAAACCAAGGTTACCTGGCTTTTATCCTGCTAGGAAATTCAGTGATATTTGTTGCTAGATGATAAAATTTTTATTTGGGAATTTCATGAGTTTATCTGCTTGGAAGCTAAAGTCAAAATAAAAATTAATGAAACCAGCATCTTGTTTGCTGGTGAAATCCAACTAATTTTTGTAGGATGCACAAGGCAAAAACATTGTTAAAACATGTCTAACAGTGCTAAACAAGGGAAATCTCAACTTGTAGAACCACTTGGCCAGGTTTTTGTAGGTATGGAAGTGCTGAAGGGATTTTCAAACACATTTAAGCAGCTGTCTGCCAAAGCATCAGGCTTTATCCTTCATTTGAGCACCCTGCTGGATTGAGAGTGCTGGTTCTGTATGGCTGCCTGTCTCTCTAGAAGTGTGATCTTGTGTAGATTTTATTATGATTTTTTTTTTAAATACAGGAGCTCTAAGAGGGATGAAAACCTCCTGCTCTTGAGAAGAGCTTGAGCTGAGGTGTCTTAGCTGTGAAGCATCTGGCCCGTGTAAAGAAACTGTTCCTGCACTGGCTCTAAACAAGAGCTGCTCCTTCTCCCCAGCTCTGGAGGTGGGAGGGCAGTGCCTGTGCCTGGCTCCATGGTGCTGAGTGAGCAGGACAGCCCTGGAGGGCCAGTGCTGCAGCCAGGGGCTCTGCTGCCCTTAGACACAGCTGTGAAATGCTGTTCATTACAGCTATGGATGATTTCTGACATCATTTTTAAATAGCAAGTTCAGGCCTCACAATGTACTTTAGATTAAAATTATGTTTAGCTGGCTTATTTAGTGATGCATTTACTATTTCTTTTCATCTAACTTCTATTGCTGCTAAATGTTTGTCATAACAATTTCACAGGCTCCTCTGAGCTACCCAATTCACTTGAGGCCAAAACATTTTGCTAGATTTGTTTCAATAGAGCAAGACAGAAAACTAGTCACCATGCTTAAAACTTTTATGCTTTCCTGTATTTTTGAAATGAATGTGTTATTCATTAATATCTGCAAGTTTTAGGTAAGAAAGGGAATTAAATGCTCAGTTTCTAGTTCTACTTGCTCCTGACTGCAGTATTTTCTAAGAGGGTGTCCTCAGAACTTTTTCAAATGTTTATCTGCAGTATCCCTTTGTAAGCATGAAATGTTAAATAAAACATGAAATGTTGGCTCATTTTCTAATCCTGCTGAAGTGCTTCCTGTTTGGACAGAAGGGTGAGGTCACTGTGTCCCCAGGAGGGGGACAGTGGGTGGTGTTGGCCACATCGCCTCCCAGACCGTGGCCATCGTGTGAACCCAAGGCTGCCACCTGAGAAAAAGATACTAAAAGAAATAAGATAACTTCACTCTGGCTTTCCAAAGTGGCCATGGACACCCTGGAATTAACCACATGCCCCTGGAGCCTGCATTTGGCTTCACAGTAGCCACCTTTTGGTCTCAAAAGTCAGAACTTGTGTTGTCAGTGTTGCTGCCACCAAACTCCTAAAGGCCTTTTAACTTTCAGGGTTTTGCTTTACACTAATACTATTTTTGTTTTATTTTGTGCTTTCAAACATGTATTTTGTCCTCTTAAGTTGACTCTAAAGGTGATACTTAGGTCACTGTGTTGGCTGGGCCTTGAGTTCAGGACTTTGGCTGTGCTAAGGACAGCATTGCCACAGGCTGTGCCCAGGGCCAGGACCTGCTCTTGGGGGTTTTCCAGGTATCCAGAAGACCCCGAGGCTGTCACCTGGTCATGAAGGGAATTGATTTGCCAGGAATTTCTTCTCTCTTGCTCATAGCAGCCACTTCCCACAGCTCCCCCAGCCAGGAGGAAGTGGCACAGCTCTGCTCTCCTAAGCCCCAGTGGCAGGACACTGTGCCAGATGGGTGTCCCAAATGTCCTTTAAATGTGCTGGAGCATCTGGATTGAGTCCCTGCAAACACAACCAGCCGTGGGTGTCTGAATTTGAGGGGAGGGGGATTATCCTGTTCAACAAAACAGTCGTGGATTACTTGCTGGAGGCTGGCTCCAGCTCCAGGATAATGCGTAATGCTTGCCCAGCTCTTTGAGAACATGCTGTTAAATACACATGGATTAATCCTCACAGGAATGTGTCCTGTGCTGCCCTGCCTTTTCTACTCATTAGCAAAGCCGTGGCTCTGGCATGGTGGTTTCATTTCTCTCTGATTTATTAATGCTGAGAAGGGGTGTTCCCTTACAGGGGCATCGAAACTTTGCAAGAGAAGCGATCCTGTGGTGTGTCACAGCTCAGAAATGGCTCAGCAAAGGGTTCAGCAGGGCTGGGGGGTGACACTGGGGTCCACAGCATCCCAAACCTGTGTGGGTCAGATGAGCCTCAGCCAGCAAATGTTTGTCCTTCTTTCTTCAGGGTCCCATGGGGTGAAGCTGAGGCTTTTAAAAGGTCACCAGAGGCAGGGGCTGGGGAGTGTGTGCACCACTGAGACAGGATACAGATTCCAAGTCTGGCCTCTGAGGGCTCCAGCCAGTTCTGGGAGTGTAAGAGAAGTTGTAAAGGCAGCAAGGAGTGCAGGTTTTGTAGGGGCTTAAGTTGTTTTAAAACTGGCACCTGGACTGACTGTGAATGCTGTGGGCTGCTCAAGTAGACAGGCAGCCACAGTCCTGGAACAGGCTGGAAAATAGCTGTGATGCTTTTTAAGGAATTCTTTGGAGAGGAACAAATGATCCATTTCCATACAGAGTGACTGTAACTGGCAGAGTGGAATCATAGAATATGCTGAAGGGGAGGGACCCATCAGGGTCACTGAGTCCAACTCCTGGCCCTGCACAGGACACCCAGGGAATCCCACCATGTGCTTGAGAGCTTGTCCAAGAATGTTCAGTAACTTAATCATTTATAATTAATGGCTAAATTGTAAGTTGGGCAACCTAAAATTGCCCAAACTGGCAATTGCAGCTTTGCCAGTTACAATATTTGTGTTGAAGCTGCTCAAATGGCATATGCAGTCCAAAGGGGAGTGTGTTTAAGTCTGTTCCTCCTTGAGCTCTGAGCTTTAAATCAAGAACACTGGAGAGCTGAGCATCCCTTTTCACAGAGGGCATAGACAAACATTCCTCTGCAGCTTTTCCCTTATAACTTGGCACTTTGAAACCAAGACTTGAGACTCTTAAAATTAGAAAAAGAAAGTAAAAATTTTAAGTAATTTGTTTTTGTTAAGGGCGGTGGCTTTGGTTTTTTAAATTTGCATTCTGGTCTGGTTCTTTTACCTCAGAGGGTCAGAGTGAGAGAGATGAAGGAAGACTCCTCCTGTCTCCACTCACCTTGTCTGTCTCACGTGGGGCTTGGTCGTGCCTAAAATGTGTTCTCCAGTCATCCATCAGTGCTGCAAATGCTTTTACAACCACTTTAGCTATCACTTGCTTCTTTCCCCCTGGTGCTTGTTAAAAAAGGCTGAAGACATTGCAGCAAGTGTTCTATTCGTGCTCAGCACCTCGTGGCAGGGCTATGGAGAAAAGGTGTCCTGGGATTTCTGTATCTGAGTGCTCTGTGCTGGGCTGGGAGGAGCTGTGGCACACAGGAACAAGGGGAGATGAAACTAGATCTCATTTCACCAGCACAGGTTAAACAAAATGGACATTTTAAAGAGATGGAATCCTCTGCATATGTACTCACTGGAGATGGCAGGGTTGTGCAAGAGGACTTTCTAAATGTTCTCCAGCAGTGCTGCCTTTTTAAGCTGTTTGTTCAGTTTTGTTTTAACAAAATGTTGGTGCTGCACGGACGTTTGAAGAGCTCCATGCAACATAAGGTACACTTGGCACACTGTTGGCTCATTTAATGCTCTTTTTGGAAGGGCTGGTGGCCACGTGCTCCTCGCACACAGAGTCACCAGACTGTGCTCCCAGGATCAGGATGTGCCTGGATATGGGGCTGGAGGGATGGGTCAGGCTCAGCTGCAGCTGGGCTGGTCCCAAGGCCAGGACAGCTTTGAGTTCCTCCTCAGGTCAATGTTGCTCTGTTTTGCTTCACCTCCCCTGAAAACTCACTTTCCTGGGGAATTCCTTTGTCCCTAAAAGCCCCTCCCGGTGCTGTTGGATCAGCCCTGTGCTCCAGCTCTGCTCTGCTTCCTTCCCCTGCAGGCGTGAATGACAGAGGAGGTGCCCCCGACTGCACTGACGGATGTGAACCTGCGCCTGCTGTGCCACGATGACATAGACACGGTGAAGCAGCTCTGTGGAGACTGGTTCCCTATAGAGTACGTGCCTGCTTTGGGACTAATGGGGTCAGCCTGCACTGCTCCAGCTCTGTGTGGCCTCAGAGCTGCTGCCAGGACAGCAGCAGGCTGGGAATGTTCTGTGCACTGCGGTGCTGGTGGTGTTAAAGGTCCTTTGCTGCCTGTCCTGCAGCGTACTGGAGTCACTAGAAACTTCCTGGGTGTGCATTTGGGCAGGAAAATGGGCTTTGTCATTGAAGGGAGGGATCAGCTTCTTGAGAAAGACTGGATGTGGTGGGGAAGGGCAGCACCTGCAGGAAAAAGGACAGCATCCCTGTGCTTGTGAAAGGAAGTTGTGTCCTGGAGCGTGGTGCTGGGACAGCACCCCCAGAGCCGCACTGAGCTGGCACTGAGGGGCTGCTCTCAATGTCCTGGGGCAGCTGAGCAGGGCTTCCCTGGGAGCTCTGCTGATCTCAGCCTGCCCCAGGCCAGCTCCCCAAAACCACACTTGGTCAATGCCCATGGCTGCACAAGCACAGGAGCTTTTCTGAGGGACACTGACAGATTTCTGGCCTGAAGCATCCAGGGAAACCACAGCTCTAGACTTCATGGATTTTTAACCTTAGCTTCATAGAGAATCCTAGCAGATTATAATTAAGATTGAATAAAATGTAACTAATCAGCAAAAGCATTCATAATGTTTTGAGTTTGTAGATTTCTTTTAAAGGCAAGACATGCTGAACTCTCATTTGGAAATAAATGAACATAAAGTAGTTTCCCTTTAGTAGCTGCAGAAGGAGGAGGAGAACTGGAGGCTGGTGGTGTGATAATTTTTTTTCCCTATCAATATGCAGCATTTTTTTACATATGTATCAAATTAATGAGATCCTTACGCTCTTGGATGAGGGCAGATGGATCTTGCATTTAAAAATAACTTGCTAAAGATGGATGTGAAAGCTCTGGGCAAAGACTGTGAGCTGAAAATGTGATTCTCTTAGCAAGGCAGGAGGCCATTACATGATGAAAGAACCCATGGCACTAAATGGGATGCAACAGCTGTTTCCAGTTGAGGAGCACCTGATGCCTGATCCCATGGGCTTTGCATCCCCAGACATTGCTGTTTCTGGTTCCTTCCAGGTACCCTGACTCATGGTACCGAGATATCACCTCCAACAAGAAGTTCTTTTCCCTGGCAGCCACGTACAGAGGCTCCATCGTGGGGATGATAGTGGCAGAGATCAAGAGCAGGACCAAGGTTCACAAAGAGGTATGTGACTACCCTGGGCTGCAGCAGGACAGAACCCACCCCTGCTGTGGGGAATGGGGATGGCACCTCTTTGGGGTGGGGCTTTTCCCTGCCCTGCTCAGACACTTGGTCTCAGTTAGTGTAAGGAATGAAGCACAGTGGAGCAGGGGTGAGGAGCTGTGTGGCACCACAGAAGCTCTTCCTGCTGGGCATGGCCCCCATGGGGAGCTGAGGGATCAGAACCTGCAGGCTAATCCCTGCCATGGCTGGTGTAGCTGTGAGAGCTCAAAACTCTTTTTTTCTTAAATGCTTCCTTGGCTGTACTGGGTTAGCTGTACTCTTCCCTTTACACAGTCCTTGTCCCAAGCCCTGAGGGGAGGTAACCTCTCTGCAGAGAGCTTGGACTTCAGAGATAACAGAGCTTGGAGGCCAGGAGAGACAGTCCAGTGCAGCAGAGAGGGAAAGAAGAGATGGTCAGTGAAGACAGCATGGGAGAAGAGCACTGAAAAAAGCAGGGGCAGTGCAGGGAGTGCCTGACTCCTGGAAGGCCCTCAGTGGTGTGGTTAAACAATAACCCAGCATGCACAGAGTAGCACATGGGTCTCCTCACCTCAGCTGTCTGGCTTCATCTCAAAGCTCATCCAAGTCAGAAGTTGCATTTTCAGCAACTTCTCCAAAAGGCTCTTGTTCCAGACAAGCTGAAAGCCAAGGGTTTATTCAGGCACTGCTCTGGGCAGTTGGGCCTGTGGAATGTGCTCCTTGTCCTCCCCAGCTGACACAGCTCAGGTGCAGCTTGCAGGCCACAAGGACTTGCTGGGCTGATCTAAACACTGCTGGGTGGCTCCAGAAATGGCACTTTGAATCCTTCTGGTAAGGAAAGCAAGCATGTTCCGTCCCTAACCCACAAATAATGTACATAGTAGGAAATAGCATGGTTTGTATTCTGCCTCTGGGAGGATGATGTGAAAATAGGAATAGCCCTATGCTTGGATATTTTAACTTCCATCCCAAAAGCTTCAGCTAAGACTGTTCAGTTAAGAGAAGTTTCCTGCTTCAGCCTTGTTTTCAGGAGTTCCAGTACAGGGTTCTTGCTTTCTCCTGTTCCCCTCCCCAGGTACCCTATTAAAAATCCTGTCCTATCTCTATGCAGGATGGAGATATCCTAGCTTCCAATTTTCCTGTGGACACTCAAGTTGCTTACATCCTAAGTCTTGGAGTGGTGAAGGAGTTCAGAAAACATGGAATAGGTAAGATGCTGCTCAGTGCCAGCTGTTGGTGTATGGCCAGGTGTGACTGAAGGAGCTCTGGTATCTCCTGCAGTATCCCTGGGGAATGGGAAAGCCTTACCAGTGACTGGTACCAGCAGGTGGGACAGTGCAGGTGCACTGGGAGGTTTTACTGGTGTGGGCACAACACAATGTGCAAATATTTCCACAGAGCACAGGCCTTTGTCAGTCTTGTTCCCAGGAGCCAGCTGTGCACACTAAAAACTCACACTGGTGCTGCTGAGAGTGTCTGAAATGAAGAACTTCACCCAGAAGCAGGGTTTGAAATTATTTTCTTTCTGGGTATCAGCAGTCTGATTCCTGAGGCAGAAAACAGAGCTGCTTTTAATCTTTCATCTTCAACAGATAGAACAAACTGTGAGAAAACCACAAGGGAACTGGAAAATAGTGTAACTTGTGCCTGATTAGATCTCAAATGTACAAGTCAGCTCTGAGTGTCTGCTGCCACATGCAGCACTCCTGCAGCCATTTGAAATGCTGGGGTCAGAAAGGCTTTCCCTGTGTTCAGAGCAGCTGTGTTCTGTCACCAAGTGCTGCCCTTCTGGAGCCGTTTGAGGCAGGGTGTGGATCTCTGATCTGCCAGGTTTGGCAGCGTGACCCAGGGGTGCACACCTGGATCTCTTCAGTGATCTGGGTAGAACTCAGCATCTCCAAGTCCTCCCTTCTCCCCCAGGCAGGTTTGGAGAGGTGTAAACTTAGAGGATACATAAAGAAATGACCACAGAGTCCTTGGTGAGAGCAGTGTTTAAACCTTCCATTAAAATGCCACTGGAGAGGATTTTCCAGTACAAAGAAGGATGTGGTAGCACAGAATGATCACAGAGGCTGGTAAAGAGATCTTTCTGTAAAATTATGATGGTTTTCAGTCTCCTCCTAATTTCCACATCCTATTTTTTTCCCCCAGTTCTATCTTGCTGGAATTTTTTCCTTTCAGAGTCAGTATTTCCTGTATCCATTCCATCTGCACAGCATGTTGCTGTGCTCTCTCAAAAACTTTGAGCTTGCACCTGTAGCAACACAACCTAAAAAAAGCTGCTGCTGCTTTTGCTGAGACTTTTCTCTTGAGTTTTCCTATTGGTGTTTGAAGCTGTAGCCTTTCATGCAGGAGGCTTTTCACTCCAGCCATGCTTCTGAGCACTAAAGCTCTGATTTGCTCTGATTTTTGTAAAAGGGTTTGGTTTCTAGTTCTCTGCTGTTCTTAAACCACAGGACAGCTGGATTTCTGTGAGGTAGAAGATTGGAATATCTCATAACAAAATTGAACTGCTCTTTTGTTGATGTCTCAATGGTTTTTTTTTGATCTTGGCTGATACAGATTCTCACTAAGTATCAAGAGAACATGAAGTCAGTGCTGTTGACTTCTGCTCTGAAATCCTGTGGGTCCTCCGGGGAGTCCTGCAGGCCCTGGGGATTGTGAAACAGCAGCAGCCATCTCCCTGTGTGTTAGTCAGGCTCATTCTTTAGCCTGGTGTTACCACACCTGCTGGAAGAGGTTCCCATGCAGGTTCTGCTGGGTCCGTGCCATGCTGAGGTGGTGTGGATGAACCCCAGGCCTTGTCTCTTGGGGCTGGAGTGTCCTCTGAACCTTTCCCTGGTTTTTCCTGCTGGCTGCAGCAAATCCAGGCTGGAGGAGACTGTCTCCACTCCTCCTTAGAAGGTATCATAAAATCCCAGCAGTTCTTAGATTTTGATTCAAGTTCAGCAGACACAATACAATAACCTGCTTGTGAAGTCCTGATTTGACACTCTGCTGTATCAAATGGCTTTAAAATAAATACATGTATGGGATGGAAGTGATACCATTGAAAATGAGTCACAGACCTCCCCAAAGCCAAGAGTTCTCTGCTGGGGTTGAGCAGTATTGACAAAGTTCTGCTCATCCTTGGGGTTATTGAGTCAGAGGTTTGTGTCTTTAAAATCTCTGGGGTTTGAAGCTGTGCTCACAGGTGGGACAATGTAAGAAAACCATGTAGAAGGTTCTGTGAGAACTGGGGGGGATTTGGGGTCTCCAGGTGTGTGCAGCAATCCCTGGGCCCCACACACACTGTGATCCTGCTGCCTTCCCTTCAACAGGTTCCCTCTTGCTTGAGAGTCTGAAAGATCACATCTCCACCACTGCCCAGGACCACTGCAAAGCCATCTACCTGCACGTGCTCACCACCAACAACACAGCAATAAACTTCTATGAAAACAGAGACTTTAAACAGCACCACTACCTGCCCTATTACTATTCCATCCGAGGGGTCCTCAAAGATGGCTTCACCTACGTCCTGTACATCAACGGCGGGCACCCGCCCTGGACAATCTTATATCCTTTCCCTGCAGGCTGCTGAGCAGAGGCCAAACCCTGCTTGGGGTTAACAGCAGAGTGTGGGTAGATGTGGGAACTGAAACCTGCTCAGATGTGGGTTTAATCTGAAGCTGGAAGGAAGGAGATGTTAGAGTTATTTGGTGTAGAATGGTTGGAGCAAGTTGGATGCCAGTGAGAGCAAGTGCTGGTGTTAAGCCAAAGTTCTGGGTGTGCTTTGGCTTGTAGGGTGCAGGATTTAGCCATGAACAGGGCAGAGAAACCCTTGGTCTTGCTTCCTGTGACCTGAGATCCCCTGTGAGCCTGGGCTGGCTTGGATCTCAGCAGGCTGCTCCCACACTGACTGAGGGGATTTGTTTCAGATCAATGGATCATGGAGAAGAAACTTGATCCTTCCTGGGTGTAGCTGGTCAGTTCCATCCTCCCTGGGTAGGGGGAGGGATTGCTATCCTCACAGGATCTCCTGTGGAGTGCAAAGGGAACTGCCTAGAGGAGGTATTTCCACACCAGCTGGAGCTCCCTTCCCAAACTGCCATCCTTTACAGGGCAGAGCAGAGCTGCTTTTGATGGAAGGGTGGAGGCAGTGATAGCCAGGAGCAGATCTGACTGAGCTGAACAGCTTCCACTGTGTCAGGGGTCCCTGCAGGCAGGGCAGCTCCAGGAGTGATGGATGTGCTTTGCTGAGTTACAGTGTGAGTGTTGCTGTCCTTAACTGGTGGCCACTGACTACCTGCAGCACATTGGCTCCACGCTGGCCAGCCTGAGCCCCTGCTCCATTCCCCAGAGGATATACAGACAAGCCCAGAGCCTCCTCTGCAGCCTCCTGCCCTGGTCTGGCATTTCTGCCAAGAGCAGCATCGAGTACAGCCGGACAATGTGAGGGACCGGGGCGCACGGGAAGCGCAGGTGGGTGCTGGGGACAGCTCCTTCCCTGCCACGGCCACTGTGCTGGGACACATCCTGGGCTGAGCTCATCTGCTGCTGTGGAAGTGTCTGGGCATGGCTGTGCTCCAGCTCCAGCCAGCAGCTGAACCCCTGCAGGTTTCATTTCAAGGGAAATAAAATTGTGACCTTGTTTACTGGAGCCCAAAGCCAACAGCAGGTGGAACCTGCTGTCCCTTTCCTTTCCCAGCTGCTGGAGCAGAGTGCAGCTCAGGCACCCACAGCTCCTGAGCCCTCAGAGTCCCAGCACAGTGACTGGAGGCCCCAGTGCTGCCAGTGCCATTGCACTGATCTTTCCAGGACAGTGGCTCCCCAGCACACCTTCCCTGTTTCCCTAAAACATCTGCCCTCTTTTCTTTCCATAGGATTGTTTCTCCTTCAGACAGTGGCTCCCCAGCACACCTTCCCTAAGTGTTTCCCTAAAACATCTGCCCTCTTTTCTTTCCATAGGATTGTTTCTCCTTCCACCTGACACCCGGCTCTGGCTCCAGTGATGACAGCTCCTGGCCGGTGACCCAGCCCCGGATGGAACTGCCTGTTCCACAGGGCCTGACCTTTGGTAGAACTTCACCCCGGGGCTGCAGCCCCGGCTCCCGCCGTGGGCGTGCCCGGCCGCGGCAGCCCGGGCCGGCCTCACTCTCCGTGTGCATGCTGCACCATCCCGCCTCCCCTCGCCTCGGTTTGCTCCTCCCCACGGCGCGATGTCGGGGCTTCAGCTGCTGCTCCTGCTCCATCCACAGCTGCTGAGAGCAGCTGAGGGAGGTTCATGGGTCTGCACTGAGCAACCACTTCAATGGACTGGGAGAGCCCTGGCTGCAGGGCAGAGCTGCCCTTGTTGCTGGGGAAGGGGGCAGCTGGGGCAGGGGCAAGGGAGGAAAGGCAATCATGTTTAGGTCCTGCCACATCAGCTGCTGGTGCTCCTGTGGGTGACTTCCAGGGAGAGCAACTGCCTCGCATGAGAAACTACCCAGCCCCACCAGCCCTCTGGAGTGATGTAAAAAGAAGCATAGAATTCAGGATGCATAAAGTAGAAGGCAGGGAATGAAATTGCTATTTCATAGTGAAATATATATGTATTATACTGTATAGATCTTTCTGCCTTTGTCCAGGATGGAATGTAGCAGGGAGGGGTGCTGGCAGTGTAGAGTCTGGTCCAGAGCCCTTCTCCCCTTCCTTGGCACCAGGCTGGACTTTGCAGGATCTTGAGGGATGGGATGTGAGCACAGATCACAACAGCTTTCCCTTGCTGGAAAGGCGCCCCAGCTGCTCAGTGTTGTGCTTTGGGCACCTCTGGCTGTGCTGGGCATGCTCTCATTGCTGCCCTGAGTAGCTCATGTGCAGCCAGGCCAGGGGCCCCGCTATTCCCATGGCAAATCCCCTTCCCTGGCCAAGGCTCTTCCCCTGCTCAGCACCATGTTCCTTATTCCAGCCTCATTTTGTAAGTGGGATGGGAACAGAGGGACCCATGCCAGAGCAGGGCCTGGATGGGCTGGCACTGCCAGCTGTGCCAGGGGCTGGGCAGGCCCTGGGGCTGACACATGGCTCAGGCTGGGCCTCAGAAGAGCCAAGGAGCACCTTCAGCCTGGATGGGCACTGAAAGCCCTGGCAGTGACCAGCCCCGGGGTGGCAGCTCACTAATAAAAGGAGGCAGGAGATGAGCTGCTGTGACTGGTGCCAGGCAGGAGAGCAGGCAGCCTCAGGGACTGGCATGTTTCATGTCTGAGAGCAGCACCAGGCTGCTCTGGGAGGTGCTGGTCCTTCTGGGGCTCAAAGAAATGGTAAAGAGGTGTTTACAAGGAGTCAAACAGGGCAGTGATGGGAAGCCCAGCCTTTGACACCTTCAAGCCCCAAGGTGCCAGGGCTGCCCTCCTAGTGGGCCTCTTGCATCCCATGTCATCCCTGGCTACCCTTTAGTTCAGCAGTGCCAGTGGCACTGGGTAGGCAGCTCCACCCCAGCCCCAGTGCCTCCTCAGGGCCCCTGACACCCTTCCAGCCTCAGCTGTTACCAGTTTGGGGTATTTTTGCTTATCCACTTTTACTTAACACATCTGTTGGTTGAGTTTCTTTAGCAGCCCAAGTCCATTCTTAGCACTTGCTTTCTCTGGACCAGAATGAAGCTCTTCCCTCCTGACTGCCTGGGGCTGATGTGTGTCTGTGTCCCCAGTTTCCCTCCTGTCCCTTACACAACCCAACTCCGCTACTCGAGCACATCCCAGGGGAGCTGTGACTGGTCTGTGTGTCTTCCTACGACCCTGTCCTGAGGTGTCAGCCCTGTCCCCACCACAGCCCATTATTTATTGAAGAACCTCTTGCTAAACATCTTCAATTAAACCAAACCTCTTTTTTGAGTCGTCTGTCCCTGCAGAGAATCCGCCTCTGACCATCTGCTTGTGCCCTGGGTGACCACAGACCCTTTTCTGTGGGGCTGGGGGGATCCTGGGGGAGCTGCTGCTGCTGCTCCAAGCCAGGGAGAGGGGGGATAGGGAAAGGGAAGCAGCTCTGTGAGGGCTGAGCCTGCCCTTCCAACAGGACTGCAGGATGGGTGGGTTTTCCTAAGGCACAGCTTGTGCTTGGGAGCTGCTCCTGCACCTGGGACAAGCTGCTCCCAGCCCCTGCCTGGAGCCCTGGGGAGCACAAACCATTCTAGAGCAACACAAACTCAAGGGCTGGCATGGTAAAGCACCTGAGCCAGCCCACGCCTCTCCTGCCACCCCCAGCTCCAGCCCTTCACCTCTGCCCTCTGTGCTCCCCCCCCCTGCACCTCCCCAGCTCGGGGTCACCACCAGCTCTGCACCAACCCTCAAAAACATTCCCAAGTGTTAAACTTTCAGCAAAGCCATTTATTCCACTTTCCTGCTCCCACAGATCTCCAGGTAGGGACCCACATGAGCATCCCCAACGCCCCAGAGGGAATTCATGGCACGGCTGCCCCGTTGTGCCAGCACCCCAAGGGGAGCCTGGCCCCTAACACGGGCAGAGGTGCTTGACCAGAAGCCCCAGGCCTCAGCTGTGCCCAGTGCCAACACAGCCACGTCCGAGTCGAGACGGGGCATTTAAAAAATTAGATGTTTTGTTCCTTACAAATGAAAGGGGGACCTGACAGCAGCAGTGTCCCTGAAATCAAAGCGTTATTCTAAGGCTCTGGCGCCCTCACGTAAGCACATGAACTCTCTGCAGGGGCTGTGCAGGTTGATCTGGGAAGCTCGCTAAGAGTTTAATGGCCATAAAAATAAAATCGCTTTTCCCTGCTTTAGACAAACCCAACCCCTCCCGGCTGGGCAGTGGGACCGCGTGGGCAGCCACTGCAGCCAGCCACGGGTCGGAAAGTTAGAAGTCTCTCAGCTCACCCACTTTTAACTGAGCGCCATCGCGGCGGCGTCACTCCATGCCCTCGGCCTGCTCGGCCATGGCGTCAGCGCCCAGCCCCACCTGCTGCTCCAGCGCCTCGGCCTCGCCCTCCAGCCCCACCAGGTGCTGCTCTGCCCCCCCGTGCAACATGCCCGGGTGCTCTGCCCTCTCTCCCAGCTCATTGCCCGCTCTAGCCAGCTCGTTGCCCGCCTTGTGGTGTCCTGCTGCCCCTCCGGCGTGGTCGATGGCCGCCTTCTTCGGCCTCTGCGTGGCAGCCACCGCCTCGGCCAGCTTCTCCTCCGGCACCATGTTCAGGATCTTCAGGGCAAACAGGAGCTGGAACTTGGCGGTTCCTACGAAGGAGTTGGCCAGGAAGTTGGGCAGCCCGCCCATGCGATCCTTCTGGGTGTAGAGGGGGACACGGACCATGCCCATCACCTGCAACAGCACGGGCACGGCTCAGCAGGGGCCACGGCAGCGCCAGCCCCCCGCCCGCACCCTCTGCCCCACACCCTCACCCGGTGCCCGCCAGCCCTCGGCCCAGGCTTGCCCTGCCCCCGTGCCAGGCTCTGCCCCTCCCTCCCACACCAGCCCCTGCCCTTGCTGCCCTCAGCCCCACTGAGCCCCTTCAGTGCCCCTGCCCAAAGCCCCCAGGGCCCTGCTCTGCCTGCCCAGCCCCTCAGCCCGGCCCTGGCTCTGCTCCCCCTTCTGCCCCTTTGCAGGGATCCCGCTGCCCCAGGCCACTATGGGAGTCCCACTTTCCCCTCCATCCGTGCCCTGCGTGGTGACACCACGGCTGTCCCACGAGTCCCCCTGTACCAGGCCACGACCCAGAGCCCGCTGCCTCGGCTCGCGGCTGCCGACACCCACCGGGCGCCCCGTGGGCACGGGGCAGGCCCCGGCTCTCGCGCGCTGCCCCGGGCGCGGCTGCCCGCGGGCAGGAAGGTGCCCCCCGCAGGGGAGGAGCTCGGCTCACAGCGACATCACCACACCGAGGTCACGGTCCAGTCCGGGGCACTCGGCCCAGGGCAGGGGGGATCCCCCCGGCTGCAAACGGCCCTCGCCCACATCCTGAGGCCGAGCGGTAACACGGGCTCATCCCTGCGTGGGTGGACACCGGGAACAGCTGGAGCTCGAGCTGGCTACGCTCGGAGCGGGCGGCACGACCCCGGGCACGGTCCCTAACGCCGCTGCCTCGGGCGGTGCGGGCACCTGCCCACGGCAGCTCGACCTGCGGTGCATTCCCCGGCCGGGCTGGCCAGGGCAGCCCGGCAGACCCAGGAGGGAAGCGGCGCCTTCCCTGGGCTAAGTGAGAGCTCGCACACCCCTCGCGGGTGTCCCACCTCCATCCCGTGGTCTCGGGAATGCACCGCGCTGATCTCGATGGTGTGCAGCTCCTCCAGGGTGAGCTGCCTGGCGTAGAAGTGTGCCACCACGCGATGTGGCCCCTCTGTCAGGTGCGAGCACAGATAGTCAGCTTCCGTCAGGCGCACACAGCCTAAACCCAAGCCCAGCACCCGATTCAGACCGTCCTCCAGGGACCAGTAACGGCGATCCACGAACCCCCCGGGAAAGCCCAGCAGTCCGTCAAATCGCATCTGCATCTGCAATAGAGGCGCAGGGTGTTAATGGGGCACGGCGCGGCCCCCGGCGGGGGGCGAGGGGGCTCACGGAGGCCTCCGGAGGAGCCGGAGGAGCGCGGGAGGCGTCGCGGCCGCTCCGTCGCGGCACTACCGGCCGGCGCATCCAGGACCATCCACCGACAGCGGCCCGGCCGCAGGGCTCCGCGCCCCGGCCGCGCAAGCCCGCGGGCTCCCCCCCGGGCTCGGGCCCAGCCTGCCACTACCGCGCTGAACGGGAACTACCGCGGAGCCGCCGCCCCTCAGCCCGCCGCCNGCCCGGCCCGGCCCGGCGCGGCCTCGCCCCCCCTCACCAGCACGGCGTAGCGCAGCGGGATGCGGCCGAACAGCATGCCCGGGTTGGGCGCGTACAGCATGGCGTGGCACGAGTGGCTCCAGCCCGGGCCGAGCCGCATCGCCTCGTACCGCGTGAGCGGCTTCAGCTCGGGCACGCCGGGCACGCCGAGAGTGGGCAGGGGCGGCAGCGCGCCCATGGCGGGCAGCGGGCCCATGGCCGCCATCGTCCCCATGGCCGCCATCGCCTCGCGCCACCGCCGCCCGCTCCGCGCACGCTGAGGGGCGGGCGGGCTGCGCGCGCCGCTCGCCTTATTAGGGCAGCGCGGCGCGCGGGGGCCAGCGGCGCGCGCGGCCAATCCCAGCGGAGCGCGCGGGGAAGGAGGGGCGCCGAACGGCACGCCGGGAAGGAGGCGGGGGCGGGAACGAACGAGCCCCCCCCCCACACACACCCCCGCCATGCCCTCCCGCCCCCGGCGCAGACGCAGTGCGGCGGCTGCTCCACGGTTTATTACTACAAACATGGACGGGGAGCGGGACGGGCCCCGGGACCCCCGCAGAAGCAGAACAAGGCACACGGCGTGGGCAGCGCCGGGCTCTGCGGGAACGGGGGGCACCCCGAACGGGCTGGGCCGGGCTGGCCCCCGCCCTCCGCCGCTCCCGCGGAGCCCCGCGCCCCGGCAAGGCAGGGAGGGCCACAGCTATGTACAGGGGCAGTGACAGCAAAGGGCTGTGCTCGGTACGTACAAAATATACATCGGTAGTGTCCTTCATCTGCCGCCCCGGCGCCACGGACACGGCCCGCGGCGGCAGCAGCCCCTACCCGGCGCGGGGAGCATGCACGGGCTGGGGCCGCCCAGGGGCACGGGCAGCCCGGCCCTCACGGAGCGCTCTGCTCGTCCTCCAGGTGCAGACGGCTCTGCTCGAAGAGAAGGGGCTGCGTGGGGCTGCCGGTGCCGCGGACGGGGAGCGTCTTGGTGAAGTCGGACGAGCCTGGGTGAGGACAGGGAGTTCAGCGGCAGCCACGGGAGCCTGGCGGGGTGTCAGCCATCCCTCCCCCTGGACTGAGCACGGGAGGTGGGGCTGCAGCCAACCACTCCTGCCCTTGGGCGCAGGCTGAGTGTCACGGGTGGGACACAGCGGGGACGCTGTGTGCCACAGGCTGGGAGAAGCCAGCAGGGCCCTGGGTGTTGGTGGTGTCCTGGCACTCGGGGACAGCAGGAATGCTGTGCCAGCACTGGGAAGGGAGCGAGGACAGAGCCAGCAGTGCAGCCTGGCTGGTTTGCTGCTCCTCCTTCCCTGCCCACGGCAGGACCAGCCCCATCCCCGCTGTCTGCCAGCACTCCCAGGAGGGCCCTGCTGCCCCCCACAACAGGGATGCGTAAGAAGAACGAGAAGACGTACCAGCTTACTCCTCTATACCAACAGAGCAGGAATCAGGACCAAGTGCTGCCCAAGACAGGAGGGAGGAAGGCAGACAGAGAGGGAAGGAGACATTAGAGAGGTAACTCAGAACAGACTGCGACTCTACGGAAGAAAACAGGCTGCAACAACAACAGTCAGAGGTGAGGACAGCGCAGTGTCCCTGTCACACCGGGACCCTCCCTGCCGTGACAGCACCGCTTGCCCCCAGCTGCTGGCCCACAGGGCTCCCCTCCCTCACCCCAAGCAGGAGCACACTTGGGAGCACACAGGAGGCCCTTGTCACACAGAACTGTGCTGGGAGTGGCTGTGGCCCAAAGAGAAGAAAGGAGGGGAAGGACAGAGACACGAGGGTGAGGGAGGAGGAGAGAGAGGGGGTCACCTCTGTGTAATCCCCCCTGCCCACCGCTCACCCTGGGGAGCCCGTGCACCGGGCAGGACTGCTCCAGCCCCACGCCAGGGCTGTGGGACAGGGCTCCAGGGGCCCCGGCCCCGCTGGCGCGGCCGTTACCTGGCAGGAAGACATCGACCGGGGCGTCGCTCTCGGAGCGCGTCAGGCTCCGGCTCTCGCCGCAGCCGCCGTCCTGCAGCACGTCTTCCACCGAGGGCGGGCGGCTACCTGGAACCAGCCCAGAGCACGGCCCCTCAGCCCCCGGGCGCCCACGGCCAGGGTGGGCCGAGCTCTTGCATGTGGGGAAGCTCCCCAGGCCCCCCAGCCCCGCTGCAGTGCTGGTCACACTGGCCCAGGTCACAGTGGCAAGGGGCCACCTCTTCACGTGCAGCCTCGTGGCCCAAAGCGTGCCCATCACTCCTCTCTCACCCCATCCTTCTCCCCTGTAGGTGCTGACTGAGCACCAGAGACCCATCCCAAGGACCCAGAGGCCCATTCTGTGTGCCCAGTACCATGGATGTGCTCTCATCAGGACCCCAGTGGTGTCCTCACTGGTGCAAGCAGAGCTTGTGGCATGGAAAGCTCTACCTGAGTAGAGCTCAGAGCAAGGCAAGATGCTTGGCAAATAAACCAGGGAGACCTGTGGATTTTGCTCCATCGCCTCTAAGAAAAGACCGTGGGACCTTTCCCTGGTGAAGAACAGAGCCTCAGAAATGGACTTAGGGGGCTGGATGTTTCTGAGCTCATTTGTCCATTCCCCAGTTGTCCCTGTCCCACCCAACAGCACTGAACACCGAGCCGAGGTCTGGCTGCACCCACACATACCCTGCTGCACCGATGAGGCCTCCTCCAGCTCTTCCCCTGCCACGCTCTGTAAGGAGGGACAGCACAGGTTACTTCTGCAGCTGGAGCTTTTGCTGTGCCATTCTCCTGCTCTGGCTTTCTCCAGGGAGCTGTGCTCGGGGCCAGGGCTTGTTCCAGGGCAGGAGCAGGGGCTACCCCAGTGCTGTAGCACTGCAGGCTGGGATTGGAGGGGTCTTACCAGCAGTGGGCACTGGAAGCTCCTAATGCCCAGCTCCCACCCCCGCCCCAAACCCTGCCAGGCATGCCCAGGATGCTGGGGAAGGTCAGCTCTGCCATGACTGAGTGGTTTTCCACTGCCAAAGAGGTGTCAGGAGCACAGGGAGTGGCTATCTCCTTCCCCAGGGGGCCTTAGGGGTAAACAAAGCAGCCAAGACTCTTGGCTGAGGCAGTGGTCCTTCAGGAGGCACTTCCCATGTCCCAGCAGAGCACACACTTACCTCTGGAGAGCTGGTCTCCCTCAGGACCAGCTCACCCCCGCTCAGCACCGCCTGCGAGTCAGAGTCCTCGGAGAGCTTCTCCTCATCCTCCTCATGGATTGGGGATGAGGGAGACCGTAGTGTGCTGCAGCAAGAGAAACTCCATTTGCAGGGAGCTGCCAGCACCCTGGGGCCTGCAGGACTTGGGGGGCAGCACAAGCCTGCTCTCATGAGCAGGAGCTCAGAGTGGGGAGCTGAATTCATCATGGCCACATGGGGAACAGCAGCAGCAGGGCAGGACAGAGCCAAGTGGTGCCAAACTCCAGCACAGCAACAAGAGGCTCGGGTCCCACGCTGCTCCTCACACTTTCAGGGCTCCCTTCCCAGGTGAAAATCTGGGCTGGAGCAGTGAGGAGTGCCAGGAACAAACCCAGTCTGATCTGATCTGAACAGCCCCATATCCTCACCTAACCCCTCCATCACAGGGCCAACAGAGGAGCCTTCAGACAAGAACTACAGGATCTCAATTCAGCACTTTGTGCTCTGAAATCCAGGTCACTCCTCCCCATTCCTTTGCTCCTGAGGAGCTTCATGGAAAGCTGAAATCCAATGAGGTTTGGACATCAAACGTAAATTCTAGGACTAAGTGCATTGGGAAGGAGACACTTCCATCCAATGTCTTTACTGTGGGGGTGGTGAGGCCCTGGCACAGGCTGCCCAGAGAAGCTGTGGCTGCTCCATCCCTGGAAGTGTCCAAGGCCAGGCTGGAAGGAGCGTGGAGCCACCTGGGATAGTGGAAGTTGTCTGTCCACAGCAGGGAGTTGCAATGAGATGAGCTTAATGGCCCTTCCCAATGCAAACCATTTTGTGATTCTATGATTAGAATCCTCTTTCTTTTGGTGACAGAGCCAGTCCTTAGGAGACTGTAACCAGGCTGAACACAGGGACAATGTCCCAGTTCCCTCCCTGGCACAAGCACCTGCTGGCCTCCTGAAGTTCTGGGTTAGCTGTGCTAACAGCAGTGGTGGGACCAGCCAGAGCCCTCTCCTGGCTCCTGGTGCGTGTGGCCACCAAGCCTCAGGGCTGGCGAGAGGAGCGGACCCCGTGCCCTGCTGACCTGTCTGGAGACTTGCTGCGCTTGCCCTTTGGGTGGGCGCCCTCCAGGGCTCTGTCCATGGCCACGAGCGGGCGGCTGGCGGGGGGCAGCCCGTCCCCCAGCCCCGAGTAGGAGATCTCGTCGTACAGAGGGGCCGAGGGCAGCGCGGGCGACGCCGAGCGCAGCCCGTTCAGCGCTTCCAGCAGCGAGATGGGCTCGTAGCCTGCGGGGATGTTGTCAGAGCTCTGCGGGTGACAAACAGGGGCGTGGTAGGAAAACATCGCCAGGCTGGAAGCCTGCTGCTCCCCCCAGGCAGCCCAGCCCCACAGCCACCTCCTTGGTGCCTTCCCTGGACGGCCACACATTCCCCTCAGGGCTGCAGTGCTGGTGATGCTCCAGGCAAGCTCCCAGAGCAGTGCTTGAGAGATTGGGCATCCCCCTGATGTGCTTTCAAGAGCTGGGCAAGGAGGGTGAGGAAGCAGGCTCCTAAAAAGCTGCTATAAAATACGTTTGGATTTTTTTCCCCTGAAAGCTCCTCCAGCGGTTCAGAGACATTTCCAGCTCAATGAACATCCCACTTGTGCTCCCAGCCATGGAACATGCATCTGTTTCACAGCACCACCAGTGTCACCAAGGCAGAGCTGAAGGAGGGGAGCATGTGTGCACCAGCTGAGAGATGGTTCTTGAAGCCTACCCCAATTCCATTTCTCCCATGTCCTCTCAGCTGCTAACACTGGCTCCATGCACAGCCAGCTCTGCTGAAAGGCAGGAAAGGGATCACAAAACCACTGGCCTCGTTAGGAGGAGGAAACCCACACCAACTCCCATTCTCTCTGTAAATCACAAAGCTGCCACTCAAAGGGACCCTTGCAAAGCCATTAAATCAACACTGGTTTAACTCCAAAAAAACTCCTGATCATAAAGACCCTGTGCACCCAGAGACAAATGGGGTTTATGCTGAGCCCAGGAGGCCACAGGCAGCTCAGCCCAGCCTGATGCAAATCAGGAGGTGACACTCCCACAGTTCAGGCTACATTAAATTGAGATGTTTCAGCCCTGTGTCCTCAAGGAGATGGTTCTAAGCTGTACAGAGGATGGCACCATGCTGCTCAGCCTGGCCATGAACCTCCACAGCCTCTGTGTGCCCCGTGTCTCAGTCACACCTGCAGATGAACCTGCCCAGCAGCCTGTACCAACACAGCCCTGATTTGGTGAGAGCTGAGTGCTGAACTGACTCACCTTGGTCACAGGAGGAGTTAGGGCTGTTGGGGAGGGAAGAATGAGTGGCACCTGGGGTCAATCCCCAAGTCCTGGTGCTACTGGTGCTGTGAGCTTTGAAGATAAAGAGCTCAGCTAAACAAGGAATGGGTTCCCAGCTGCTGCCAGCTGTAGGTGGTGGGGCCAAAAGCCATCTCAAAAAAAACTTTTCATCTGCAGACAGCAGCCCAGCTGTGCTATTCTGTGTACAGAAAAGTCAGGGAGACAAACTTCCCCTGGATTTCTGTTTGGGGCTTTGTCTCCTGGCTGTGCAGGGCAGGCCCTGAGGGTTCAAAGGCTGCCTGTTGCTGTGCTGAAAGCTCAGGTTGCACAGCACAGCTCAGAGCCTGGAGGAGGATTTCCCAGCCAATGGCTAGGACACCCTCTCTGGGACACCATTCCCTTCTGGGACACTCAGGAACACTGCCAGTCCCTGTGGGAGCCTTGCAGAGAGCCAGGTCATGCCAGAATGGGTTCAAACCTGAACCAGCACCAGGTTTTCTCCAGCCCTTCAAGCCCAGCAAGTCATGTTCCTACAAGGCCGAGCATCAGAGGTGGCTTGAGCAAAAAAAAAACCTGCAACTTCCTTGACAGAGATGACAGCCATGGCTGCATTTGATGGGAGTAAACAAAGAGGGCACAAACAGCCTGCCTGGCCTGGGGGCTCCCTCAGGTTTCCCCTTCCCAGCTCCTGGACCCCCACAATTGCCATTCATGCTGTCCCCAGCACAGCACTGCAGTTACACTGCCAAACCCACTCAGAGTGTCCCCAGCCAAGACAAGCTCCATCCTTCCTGTTCCTGTAAAAGCAAACCAGCCTGTCACAGCCAGTGCTCCTGAATGCAAGACCAGCTCCAGCTGCACCTCTACATGCCAGCACCACAAACCACACCAAGATGTGCCCACACCAAACTGCCCAGGGGATGAGGTAAGTGCAAGGAAGCTTTTGGGTGAGCTGTGGGACTGCAGCTTGCCCACAGTCCTAAGAAGCTGTGAAAACATCTTGGCCAGGAACCATAAATCAGCCAGGGGACAGTCCCTGAGAGTCAGCATCAGACCCCTGTGCCAAGCTTGCTTGTTCCTCCACAGGCAAACCAGGGATGTCAGTGATTAACTGTGCAGGGTGTGAGCATCTCACTGCCAGTGTGAAGGATGTGGAGTGTCACAGCCTGGCAGGGGCACAGGCCAAACCCAGAGTGTCAGCAAGCCCTTGTGTGTGACACTGCCACGTGCAGGTGACACCGCTGGCAGAGCTGCCAAGTGCAACCAGCAGAGTCCACTTACTGTTCTCACTTCCCTCCTAGGCTTCCTGCTGGGCAGGGAGACAGAGCTCACCTTAAGGGGTTTAAAGGGGTGCTGTCAAGAGAAAACCATGTTTTAAAGAAATTGTTTCTTGAGGTTAAGTGACAGGAAGAGACACACAGCATCTCCCCACCTCTCTGCAGGTGACAGCACCGTGTCCTCCACACACCACACTCTGCTTCACAACCCTCAGGCCTTCACCACCCTATTCCTCAGCCCCAGCTGAAGGCAGCAGAGGGCAGCTGGATAAAGCCAACCTTTTTCTGTGACAGTATCTGTTCCCATGAAAGCCTGTAGGATGGTCTAGATGCACGTGTCCTTCTCCTCACTCTAATCTTGGTGTCTCACCAGAGCCAGCTGTGCAACAGCGCTGCTGCCCTTACCACACTGGGACATCCAGCTGGGCCCTGAGGCCACCAGCACGACACCTCCCATCCCACACTCCCTCAGATGCATGCCAAGACACCCAGGGAAGCTGCCACAAGGAGGCCTTTCTACTCCCATGCTGGGAACCCCTGTGCCAAGGGCATTTTATCCGTGTGCTGCCACAGAGATGTGTTTGCAAGTCAAACTGGAACCCTTCTGCCCCGTTTTCACAGCTCCCACCCTGTCATGCCCAGAGTCTGCCACTTTTCTGTTGGGCCAGGCAACAAGAAACCTTCTCGTCCTGAGATTTCTGTGGATTTGTTTCCTCTAGTCCAGTTGTGTTGATAAGAAAAGGCAGCACTGCTTGGGAAGCCCTCAGAGGAGGGTGTGACCAAGCCTCCTGAGGTCCCAGCCATCAGTCCAAGCAACTCATGCACCCAGCAGCTCTTGCTCAGGCTGAGACCAACGGGCAGGCTTTGCACAGGGCTCAGCAGGTACTCACAGAGTGCTCATCATGGTCCACACTCTGTGCCAGGACAGGGCTGAACGACACCGGCGACAGAGCCCCCGGCTTCTTCCTCACCGCCCGGATCTGCAGCAGGGCACGGAAGGCTGGGAGAGAACAGGAGGTGGTGACTGCACAGCCCAGCAGGGCCAGGCCATGCCACAAACACACCGTGGGCACGAAGGAGCTCCCCTGGGCATGGGGAGTGGGGCCATGGAGAGCCCCAAAGCCCAGGGATGGGGTCGGGCTCCCATTGATCTGCACAGGGAAGGGATCTGCTGGCTGAACAAGTCTGGGTGCACAGAGCCCTGGTGGAGAACAGGCACTGCCTGCCCCAGTACAGTCATGGACAGGGTACTTCAGCTATTCTGCAAATGTAGAGGCCCAGAGAAGTTCCCCTTAAGGGTAGGTCACAACAACACAGTAAGAAAAACATGAGCTCAGCCTCAGGAGTGCACTGCATGCTGCAGGTTGGGTGGGGGAGTCATTAAATCCCCTTTGGGCTCCTTCAGACCCCACAAACCTCAGCCCTGGGGTGGTGAAAGGCTCCAGCTGAAGGTTAGTGCCTGTATTCTTGTCTCCAGCACAGCCACCCCTCAGTCCTCCCACCACCAGAGCTTTGATCTCCACTCCCTGCAGATCTCTCCTATCTGCAGATGTTTCACATGGCTTGTTGCTCTGTGCCAAGGGTGCACACAAACGAGCCAGACATCTGTTCTGATGCAGCTGTGAGGACCTGCCAGGCATGTTCCTAGTTCTTGTTGCACCTAGCCCCTTCAAGATCAGCCTAGAGCCAGAGAACAGAGGTACAAATCTATCCCTGCTGCCTCTGCACTCCCCAGCAGCAGATTCCCAGGAAGTCTGAGATGGGGGCATTTTCCAAACAAATACAACCTACTCCCCTACAGCCTGCAGATGGGACAATGTTGTTCCTGTGTCTTATGATGTGCTACTTATAGTCAAAGCAGTCTGGCACTTCCTCTGGTGAGATCTTGCATTTGGTTACTGCTCTTTGCCATGTTTGGGCTGTTTGGACTTAATTTCTCAGGCCAAACATCAGTCTCAGGCTCTTTATTTCTTTCCCTGAGAATTGTCAGTTAGAAACAATCAAATACCTCAGAGACCAGGGGGTAAAACCCACACTCTGCCCCTTCCAGCAGGAACACAAAATTCTCAAGGGCCTCCTGTGCCTCTGTGCTTTCGAAAAAACACAGAATTCAGCAAATGCTGCCTGAGTGTCAAAACATGTATTTAAGTTTTTCCATCTTTTGGCAGCTGAGCAATGCAGGGGTTAAGCCAATCCTCCTAACTCCTGGCAGAGCAAAAGACTCCAAACTGACTGTTACCTCATCCCTGCCTCCTGGTGAAACCTGGGTAAGGTTGTCAGAAGATTAAAAAAAATCATGCTGTATACTTGGACACGCCTCCAGTGGTGCTGGTGCTCTCTCAGCCAGATACCCTCAGGATAAAGCTTCTCCATCCCTTCCTTTGGGGGATTTTCCATCTTCTTCACCAAAACACAAGAACTGCTGACACGGCACAGCCCAGAGCACCTGCACCTTCAGATCCACCCAGGGACAGGGTGAGTGAAGAAAGCCCTTCTCCTCCAATGCTGAGCCTTGGGGTGGGGGACTGAAAAGAGGCTCCTCCTGATCTTCACCAAAAACACAAGAACTGCTGACATGCCACAGCCCAGAGCACCTGCACCTTCACATCCACCCAGGGACAGGGTGAGTAGACAGAGCCATTCTCCTCTCCTGTCTGAGGACCTTTATTCTAGGTCAGTCAGAGCAGCAGCACGTGCAATGCTGAGCCTTGGGGTGGGGGACTGAAAAGAGGCTCCTCCTGCCAGGAGCTGGGCAGGGCCAGGTGTCTCAGTTGGAAATGGGTGTGTATTCTACTCCTGTCTGATGGGGCAGTTCTCTTCTGTTCATGGGGCAGTTTTCTTTATCTCTCCCACAGCCAATCCTCCCTCCAGGAGATCTCTGCTGTCCATGGCCACTGAGTGTCCCTGCAGGGCTGATCAAATTCCAGCATCCCATGGGGAGATGCTGTGCCCAGGGCAGGAGCCAAGCATTCCTACCTGGATCCAATCTGAGCCTGGAACAGCACAGCAGCCTTTGCCCACTGCATTCCCAGAGGAGCAGCTTTCTCCTGCCCTGCATATGGGGCAGGGGCTGGCCTGGTGGCCTGGGCACTCAGGGACCCTGCAGATGGGGCAGGGGCTGCCCTGTGGCGGGCACTCACGCAGCCTGCAGATGGGGCAGTTGTTGGCCTGGGAGCGCAGCGTGTCGGCGCAGGAGTTGCAGAGGCAGAGGTGGCGGCAGGGCAGGATCAGGGTGTCCCTCAGGTCCGACAGGCACACCACGCACTCGTTGCTGTTGTCGCTGTTCTCGTCGTCTGAAGGCTGCAAGGAGAGGCAAAGGGTTGGCGTGGCAGTGTGGGGGCTATGCCAAGCTGCCAAGGGACAGCAGCCTGGGGGAATTTCCCACCCTGAAGTCTGGAAATTCTCTTTTTGCAGCTCTCAGCAGGGGTTCCTCAAGGAGAGCAAACTGTAGCCCACACAGCCCTGCTCACACTCCTTCCTCTCAGGGTACTGCACTGGGAATTCGTGGCAGAGTTGTCCTTCCCCACAGCCATGTTCTGTTCAGAGAGGACCCATTTTGGGGCAGGGAGCCCCTTGACTGCAGCTGACCAGGAACAAGCTCCTGCCTCCCATCCTGGTGGCTCCAGGGTCAACAGGGAAGTGAACTCTTTGGCACTCTGGCCTTTCTTCCCCACAGACAGAGCAGCCCCACAAGGAGCTCTGTGCTGCCTGTTGTTTCAGCCATGTCTAGCCCAGCTTCCACAGGTGCCCTGAGCAAGCGAGTGATTCTCCTGCATCCCCTGTACAAACTCTGATGCAGCTGCAGGAGAACCAGCCCAGGGCACTCACCTGCCCATAGCTACCCTGGTAAAAGGCTCAGTGTGCACCCATTCAACATAATCATGGTTCACACCCATCTTTATCAAAGCCCCACAAACTGGATCACAGCCACTGATCAAGACGGAAGAGAAACTCCCTCTCCAACCACAAGACTGACACCAGAAAACTCCACAGTCTCCCCACTGATGTCATAGAAGTTGTGCCAGAGCCCACCACAATGACCCAGGATGGGTACCCTCCACCTTCACCTGGGGCTAACATGTGCTAGACCATGAGCAACCTCGGTGTAAACAGCACTTGTGCTGCTGCCACATCCTCACCCAGCCTTTTTTTGGAGGGAGAGCAGGCTCTTTGCTGTCCCACTCACATGGTTTGCTGAATAAGGAAGAACAAAAATGGCCCCAGGCCACTTGTCTGATAGGCCAGGAACATGGGATTGCTGGATCACGAGAATCCTCACAAGACCCAAAAAGAAACCCTCAATCCTGTTAATACTCCCTCAATACTGTGCAAGAAAAACCTTGGAAAACACTTCTCCCTCCTGCCTCTTCAGGTGCTACCTGTTGGCACAGGCAGATAGGGATCACAGGATGCTCTGGGCAGGGCACTGGAGAGAAATCCTGCTTGTCTTGCTCCACTGTGTGCAGACAGTGCACCCCACACCCCGGAGCTGTGTGATCCCAAGGCCAGCACTGGGTACACTCCACAGCCCAGGTGGCAGCAAAGGGCAGCTCTACAGAGGCTGAAGAAAGAATAAAGCAGTCACACAACCTGTGCAGGGCTGTGCAGCAGCCTGGGATCCAGCAGCAGCTCCTGCCTCAGGATGGGATGTTTCTGG